TAAAATTGATACCATAATTGTGTGTTCTGTGTTTAAGGTTGTCGCAGGGATCAACACTCAGCTTGGACTCCTTGTAACACAGAGCGACAATGTTTTCAAGGAATCTGTGTCATTACACTCTGAACAATTTGGTATGGTATTGTTCTCTTCACGGATATAATTACAGCCGAAGTCCCAGTCGGATGTCATTAACAATTCTTTTTCTTTATCAGAGGTTGAAACTGAGGTGATTGACAAACTAAAATACATTGAGGAGACCAAAGAGACCATGGATAAAAACACCCAAAAACTTGCAGACATAGTGCAGGATATCAGTGGAATTCAGAGAGGTAAGATAATTGTGTTAACTGCGTGTCCTGTTCAAACACTGGGTTTTAAAGGGTATCAAGCCGGTGGGAAAGAGTTGCCAGCTATCGCCTGGGAGTCTGGGGGCATGCCCGAAAATGACAGAAAGCTGAAACAGGAAACTATAGTGTAGCTGCTGTTTCAGCTTTCACATGAATAACACTTAAATTATTTGGATGGAAAGCTAACATGTTTACATTTTATGTAGATGTTTTAATGACAACCGATGGATATAAGAAATATGGCCTCTTTCATATTGTCAGAGCATCATCCATGGATCTCAGTTCTGCACACTGGAATGATAACCCACTCATCAACTACACAAATTTACGCTCTTTTATCCACTGCGTCCGTTTCCAGACGGAACACCACAGCGTCTGGAGTTCACCCTGGAGGTGGTCGAGGGGACGCTCAACCACTCAGCAGAGGTCCTTCAAACCATCACGCCCATAAGCAGCAAGGTTGAGGAATGGGCCAAAAACATGAGAAACAATGAATACTCTACAGCTGCTTATGAAGCGGCCGTTTCCTCTGCCGGAGAAACTGGTATTAGACTCAGGGCAACACATGTATCTTTAATGTTTCAATGATTCTCAGCAGGCAATTAGAATTAAACCGTTCATGAATAACATCATGTGTGAACCCTGCTAACCATTCAATTGGTTTCTTAGTTTCTTAGTTTACAAATCATGGTGAAATGTTTTTTTCTGTTGAACCTGCTTTGCAGTGGAGAACCTGAATGTGCTCGTTCCCGAGCTGCTGAACAAACTGAAGGTGGTTGAGGAGAAGAAGCCTGTCAACAACGTGACCACCAACATCCTGAGGATCAGAGAGCTCATAGCCCAGGCCAGGAGCGTGGCCAAGAAAGTGAGTGAAAACATGGTTCAAGTGCAGTAGATCTAGGAGACGCATGCTGAATTCTAGCCCAAGAAGAACACAGCAGCAGTGTAGACTTGTCGTCAAGAGATAGACGTGTATATGATTTATTTATCTATTACTTTTAGAGTGAAAAGTTTGCATACTTCTTTTCAAAACCTTTTTTTCTGTACACCTCATG